TCTTTGTGTTTCATTCAAGCAATCCCATATTCAGGCCACAAGTTTGCTCTGATCCAGTAGAATGAACGGGTTTTGATGAGACCCAATAGACTGGTTTGTGTTTCTCTTTCATTACCAAAAACTCTTTGATTGGGCCATAACCACAAAGTCCAAACTGTCACGAACCAGACCTTATCCATGTTTCTCTGATCAATCCTTTCGACAGCATAAGCAGATATGCACCATAAGCATATTATCAGTGCCAGTGAGGCGTCTAGGGTAGTGGTAAGGATTAAAGCCTTTTCGAATCTCACCTTATGCATGTGGGTTTACATCTAGATTTTCTTCTTCTTATTATTATTATTATTATTATTTTGTTATTTAGAGAATTGAATTGTATATTTGTATAGAACACGGAATTAAGTAATCTGTAATGTATGCACATACATTCATAAAAGAAAGCATTATCTGTAACAAAACTAACAAGTCTTGCGGGATGCCAGAAATTGTGTAAATAGAAGAAATTAAAGCATGGAAAAGAGAGAAGGAAAACGGAAAGAAATGAATATTAAGATATTATTAAATGATATAAAATTATTATATAAGGAGTTTTTATATAGTGGTTTAGATAATCTAATAACCAAATAATCCTAAATTTATCATAGTACTTAATAACAAAACAATGATCACTATATATTCCATTCCAACATACTATACAATACATTCATTAAAAAATTATTATTTTTTAATTTGAAATTAAAGACAAACAAACTTAAAGATATAACTATGCACACATAATGTAAAAATTGATTAAATCAATTACACTTATATTATAGTTTTAATGATTGAACCAGATAATTATCAAAAATTGTGTTAAATCATGTGCTAAACCATGTGTATCAATAATCTTCCTTAACAATAATATCAAATTTAAAATTTATTCCTATAATTATAGGAATCATATCTTATAATAACTCTGTCATTCCCCTCAAACTAACTTAAGGTGGTTTAACCAACTTAAGTTCGCAAATACAGCAAATTGCCATGTTATGTCCATAACTAATCACAGAAAGTGTTTTGATCTTGAAGCCAATATGTGAATGAGAAGATAAAAGAAATTATGAAACTAAAAACACCGTGAACCTTTTGTTTATTGAAGCTGGAACCTAAAAATCCACCCAAGGTTACAAAGAAATAGCAGAAAACCAAAGCAATAAAAAACTAAAGTAGCAAATGATGAGGTAAGAGAAAACCATAAAAGATTGAATTGGAGAACGAAAGTTTCGGAAAAAAAGAAGGCAGAGAGAGAAATAGAAGAATTTGAGAGAGAAGAAGTCAACATGAGCAATAAAGGTTGAAAACACACAAAGTAATATGAAATAGAAGGATTATTAGAAAAAGTAAAGCAGTATGAGAAAACTAAATTGGTAGAAAATCAAAGTAGCAGAAAATTAGTTCATTAAGAACATATTGTGAACTAATTGAATTGGACAAACCATGAGGAATTGTTTTGGCCAAAACCAATTAAGGAGTTCGACAATCAAATGAAGGAAGTTAATTTTTTGAAAAATTAAAATTAGAAGACACTACTAATAATGAAAATTATTGAAAAAAAATAAAATTTAAAAAGATTTTATAAGATATGATAGAGGGAGCAGGACTCCAAAAAAAAAAATAAATCTAATTGAAATTGCCGACTTCTAAAGAAAGTAGATAACAAATAACATTACCCACTCACCGACTTTTAGTCCCTCGCAGACTATGGCTGCTCACAATCTCCATTTTCCATCCACCAGCCGCCCTCAAATCCAAACTCTTTTACCACCAACTACCATCACTCCGACGTACCAAAGAATCCGATAAACAAAGACCCAACTAAGAGATCATTAATTAACCAAATCAATTTATCCTTTTTTTAGGTACAAATCATATTATCTTTTTTCATCATTATTATTTTTTATAATCAAGTGTTCTCGATTGGGTAGAGCTAGCTTTTGCTTATTTAAACACTAATATTTCTTTGAGGGATCTTTATGGCGCACATCTCATTTATCAACTGGATGTTGGGAGCGTTTGGTTTTGGTGATAAATGGAGGGGGTGGATTATGGAGTGTTTTTCTATGGCTAGGGTATCGATATTGGTAAATGGTAGTCCGATCAAGGAGTTTGAAATGGGGAAAGGGCTCAGGCAAGGAGACCCTTTGTCTCCTTTTTTATTTTTGATGGTTGGAGAGGCATTGCATGGATTGGTTAAAAAAGCAGAAAATGAAGGCATGTTACAAGGGATAAAGGTGGGTAGGAGGGGGTTGGCGGTCTCTTTGTTACAATTTGCAGATGACACAGTTATTTTGGGTGAGGCAAGCAAAGAAAATATCCTCATGGTAAAAGCTATTCTGAGGTGGTTTCAGTTGATGTCGGGGCTGAGGATTAATTTCAACAAGAGTTGTGTGTATGGTTTTAACA